GGGAAAACCGAAGTTTGATAGTTCTCATTATTGAAGTGAAAATTATTGCCAGTATCAAAGTTATTGAAGATCTATTATTGCTCTTTCATTGAACTGCTTGATGGTTCTTCAGTCTTAATTCTTGATAAATAAGTTCTATAAACTGTGTTGATATTTACCTTTCAGTATACTTGGGAACAAGCTGAATTTGACATCATTCAGAGGAAAACTAGGATTAGCCTCCATTTTAATCTACATAAACAGCATAAAAAGATTCGCCACGCATTTAGCTACAGCTGGAGACTGTAAGTTCTGTCATTTACTCGTGATGCTTTTGTTCTTGTCACATATTACTTTTGTTTAGCCTTATCATTATGCTTAAAATAATTTGCATTTGTTTTATGAGAAATTTGCACTGTTGGCCATAACCTGTTTTCCGACTAGCTGGTTGGTCTTCAACCTTTCATTATAATAGTTGGGGAAAAAGTTACCGTTTCATAAAGTTTGATATATTTTGTGCCAGCTGGTCCTTGCCTGAAATTAAGGAATCCTTGGAAGAAGCTGGTTTTCGATCTGTCCACTTTTGGATTCGGAATATGCCAGATAGTGAAGAAATTAGATGTATGGACGGGTTTCCTGTTGGACGAGACTTGAAATATGAAGAAGTCACGAGTTTCCAACAACAGGATTCATGGAATGCTTATATCGTTGGTGTTGCATAGTCATTCCTTAATGGTATCGACCTCCTGTTATTTGAAGTCATTATCAGATGCAGGAAGATACGTGCAAAAAGCTTGGGTAAGTTGAGGAGTTTACTTTGTACGTGCTTTTGATATTCTTCTCAAATTACACTCAATTCCTTACAAGTACCTACATGGCTAAAATACACATGGCATGCTTGTTCGTGAAATTGACAATTATCTTGTTAATCCAAACAGGTAGATTGTTGGCAACATGCCGTTGATATGCTTGAAAGGAATGTCATTTCTTGGTAGTACTCGAAAGTTACTATGTACACAAGGAAAATGCAACTAAGGATGATCCTTTGAGCAGTTGAATGAGCAGAGACTGTATATTTTTTACTGAAATTTTTCAGGAAGTCTTTCCGACTATAAATGATTGCATGACACATTTAGACATATTTGGTAAGCAGTATTAGATATGACTATCAATGCAACATGATTTTAGTTTCTTCTTTTTTTCTTGACGTTTATTTCTTTTTTGATGATTTCGTCATTGCATTTTTCTCACACACCTATATTTCTTAAAAATCAACTGAACGCCATATGGGCAATTTGCTCGTGTAAATTAAATTCAATGGTCTGTATTGGAGAAAACTAGGTCAGGATTTCAACGTGGGTTTATCCTGCTCACAAAGGTTGTCCTTTTCTTATGTTACAGTGCATAATTCTATCCTTTTTCTTGGCAGCCAAATTCCGAGGGTTCCACACTACTTTCATTTAGGTGTGTCAAATTATACACATAAATCATTGCAAAATAGCTGTAAATAATGCCAAGAAAATATCTGCTGAATCAGCCAGAGCTAACACTAGGAGGTCCAAGCAAAGAGTAAGCTTATTCAAACTATCTTCAAGTGGGTTCTCTTCCTCTCTGAAAATTTATCCTCTTTTAGTTTTCTTTTGATTTCTAGGCTTCACTGATCTTGCCATGATATCATTTGATCTTGAATTGTAAGGAAATGTTAACACCTACTTGTGTCCCACATCGTAGGCTAAGTTTAGTTTGTGGTTTTAACCAATTGGCCATTCTTCCCTTGCAAACACTTTTTCAAGGTGATTCTTCTATTGTGGTTACGATTTTGAACGGCGGAGTAGGTGGTGGAGTGGCAAGGGTTCGGATTTGTAGGAGGTGGAGTAGGGAGTTGATGAACACGGCAATCTTGGAATATGAACAAGTTAGATGCCATTCTACATAACGTAAAGGGCAACAACGGGCTCTTTGTGATCTTATCGTTTTGATGTCCAACTTTATGAAGTTAGGTTTTACTTCTCAACTTCGATAAGAAATTTCCATGAGGGCCATACGATGATTTTGATGGTTTCTATCGTTATGAAATTAGTTGTGTAACTATAATGACATATTGATCATCAAGTTGCAAATCCGGCAATAAATTGGGGACATGCTTTGCATTTTCTCTGACAAATTATGAATACATTTCAGGAAAAAATAAATAAAAAAGTGGAAAGTTAAAATAGGGGGCATGAAGTTATCTCCAAACTTTGATCAATAAAAAGTTATTTAATTCAAAACTTATAATTAAACTTACGAAGCTTAGCCAAACAAGCTAAAAAATTGTATCTTTCAGCTTCACCTTTCAGTGTATATCGAATTTGACATGCTTCTCCAAGCATTGTGGCATAAACATGCTTATGTGTTTTGTTCTTGTTTTACTTTATTTGATTGTATGTATTCTTCTATCAATGAAGTAGTACACTAAGGACGTGTTTGGTTACCCAAATTTCTATAAGAGAAATCTTGGTCTTTTTTTGTCTTTCATGAAAAAGAACGACAACGAAGTGTTTACAAGAGTTTATATGGGACATGATTGTAAGTTATGGCAAATGGGAATTTGATCCAACAGATAAAAGCAACCTTTTTTTGAGTAATAACGAGGCTCTATTCAATTTTGGCAAAGATTTAAAGACAAGTTAATTCTGATCAAGTTGAGCCTCTATTTATCCTAGCAACTTCCGTGGAGTCTATCATCTATTTTTATAGTGTATAACATCACCACTCGAAACATGAGGAAATTTTTTCTCACATGACACTTTAGATCGACAAAATGAAGTTGTTCCACTACTTTTGAGTTTGTAAATAATGTCCAATTTTTTTTCACAAAAATACGAAATTCTTCCGATTTACTTTTGCACGGATTTTAAATCATCTAGACATTTTCATTCTCATCACACAAGATAAAATTGATTAAAATATGTAGTCCATTTAGATAATCTAATCTTTCTCACCAATTTTACCAAAAGTGCATAGACAATGCAACTCAACTCTTGACGCAGACGATCATGGTGCGTCCTCGTTTCAGAATTTTCTAATTTGATTTTCGTACTTTAATTTTTAGAAAAAAATCTGATAAAAAACACTAGTCATTTTGTATGGTCGAATGATTATATTTGATAAACCTTTTGACGGTTGTCGAATATGATTTCA